CAGAGACATTCCCACCAGTACACACTCGACAAGTTACAATATAGCGCCACATTGTTCTATAAGAAACAAATCTTCTAAGCANTCGACAAGTTACAAGATAGCGCCACATTGTTCTATAAGAAACAAATCTTCTTAGCAAGTAACTCTCTTCTATGTGCTTTGATGCAACAATTGAATGAAAAACTTATTTTCATATATGAATCAATGCTTTAAATTGCAAGAAATCTCCTCAAAACATGATTTAAGTCAGAAAGAAGGTGTTTGAATCACATGAAGAACAATATGGGAATGATATAGCTGTCCTATTTCTGGTGTAATGAAGTTCAAAAGCCACCTAGGATATTGACACAAAGGTAAACATAACCGTGTGTATTATAGAGGAATACAAATGGTGATTTCTATGGAAAAGCTGACAAACAAATTCCAAAAATATGCTGAAGAGACCCGATATCCTGATTATATGTTTGATTGCTAATGAAATTTATGCTGGATTGATAAATTTGATGATTTCTATTTGCCATTTTGCATAGCTTTACCCGTTTCTACAAGCACACACAAAAAGTAGAAGATTCGAAGTTGGGATGTAAAAGCTGCTCAGCCGTTAGTTTTTTCTTCTCTTCATCTGTTACTAATTGGAAAAAAAAAACATCACATACTTCCTTTTCTTGTACCTCATGATACACAAATCCCATTATCGGGGGTGTATACATTTCTCAAAAGCCATCACGAGAAAAGTTGCAGAACCTTGGTCATCAAATTGATTGCAAGATTATATGTAGTGAATTGGACTGTGTATGCTTGTATGATTGTGTGTCTTGTTGGAGCTCGCTACTGAAAATTTTATCTGTCTTTAACAGATATGGATTCCAAACTGATGCAAACCCCTCGAATGTGGCATCCCACCATTCATTGGACTCATGAGAAGCATATTAGTTCATCAATTTTGTTCAACCCTAATTTTTCAAAAAAATCGTTCATGGCAAGAAGCAATCGAACCTTGTTTTGATCGAATTGGTGAAGACCCAATAGTGGAATAGCAGCACCAGGTGAGGAGGAGTCGATTCCAGGTGGTCCCCCTCCATGAGTGGTCTGAACAGCGCCGGAAAATGGGTTCTTAGCTGGCGGTGTCGAGAGCCTCGCGACAGGGCTGTGTTCAATCTGCAATTCAGAACGTTTGGCTGATGATATGGATAAATTGCCACCATGGTTAGACTCGTTTGGGTGTTGGGAAGCTTCCAGTTGTGGTTCGCGCTCGTGATTGTCAGTACCGGCGCCGAAAATCACGCTCTTCCCAGGCGAGGTCGCTAAAGTCGCGACTGTTGTTCGATTTTCAGCAGATTGGGGTTGCTTTCGAGCTATTTGTGTCAAATTGCTGCCATGGGAGGCTTCGTCCAGAGGTGTGCAGCCTGTAGGGTGGAGGTTCCGGCTGTGGAGTTGGCTGGAATGGTGATTTCCGGCGTTTTTCAGTTTTTTTGGCAGAATTTTTGCAGCTTCGATTTCTAGAGTTTTTGCGGATGGATTTTCATGCGTTTTTGAATTTCTAGAGAGAAGGGAGAGCATTTGGGGGGTAGAGAGAGAAAGTAGAAGGGTGAGAATGGTTAGGATTTGATTTAGGGTTTACGAAAATTCCGTTAGTTTTTCCGTTAAATCAAGAAATTCCGTTAGTTTTTCCGTTAAACCAATAAATTCCGTTAGATAGGCACTTTTTATATAGAAGAGATATCTAGGCTCAACTTATGGTAAGTTAGAAAATTATAAATGTACAATAAAATAAGCATCTCATATAATTTATGCTGATTTTAATTGAATTATATGCACATTATAATTAACTTTAATTGGCATGCCAATTGTTTAGGACGTTCACTGTACATTTTACTACAAAACATGATTAGTCACCATGACGATAAATTATTAATTAAGCATCAAACATATCATTAGGTAATATTATATTTGCAAAAATTAAGAAGAGATTAATGTGGTGTTACACTCTTATTCATTTGTAAAGGTATAAAAGCTTCAATGTTTAGCAATAAATGATGAAAGCTCTAAAAATAATTTTGTGCACAAAACGTTATTTTTATAAACACACTCATAAAATATTTTTGATCAAAAGTATGATTTTCAAATTGATATTTAAATTTAGATCATATCTTACAAATATCACTTACCTTGGAAAATATGTTGAAAACGCTATTCAAAAGTTTGCATTTTTTCCTTCAAAACATTTAAGTTGAAACGATTTAAAGAAAATTGCGTAAAGCAAACATCCGGTTCCACCATGCGGACGTCCAATTGGTGTAATGGTGGAATTTTTTGACTGTTGTAATTTCTAAGCACAACGGCTATTTTTGTATGTCCGATATGATGGCGGACTTCCAAATCCTTGTCCGATTTCATAGATTGTTTTGCTCCTTGAATTATATAAATACATTCACCTTTTGCATTCATTGCAACATTCTTCATGAGCATTAAATTGATTTGAGCAAAACTCTTCAAGTTTTCGTCATATTTATTTTATTAACTTATTCATTTTGAAAACTTTTGATTGATTAAATCAATTTTTGAAATCATCTTTTTAATTTAAGTTTTCTTATCTAACATTGGAGCTATTAATTATAGCGAATTATTGAAGTTTTAAACTCATTTGGTACTTATTTCATTTGTATCATTTATTAAGAAAGACGTTTCAATTGTGAAAACATTTTTTTTATATTTGTGGGTCAGATTTAGATCCCTTAAAAACTCAATAAGTTGGATCATATTTAGGTCCGCAAAGCTCAATATTGCATAAGGTTCGACATTGTTTATTTGTAAGTCATCAGAAGTATTGTAAGGGTTTGGATTGTACCACAAGCCAATCATTATAGTGAAAAGGTCTTACTCGTGACATATAGTTTGGCAATGGAGGACGTAAATCATTTATTTGGATCTAATGTCCATAATTATATTGTTTGCATCTTCTATTCCCTTTTACATATCGCTTTTATATTTGTACATATCACTTGATTAATCTATTGACTCTTAACTAAATTGAATTAGATTAATTTTTCTAAAAAGTTTTAAAAAAAATTCACCAGCTTTTGGTTAGTTATTCTCGACTATCAAATCAAAGTGTGAAATAACTATTTTACCCTCAAATTCTATTTTCTTCTTTAGATCTCATATTTCTCTCATGACTCATAATTTGTGGTCTTCACAATTAAGCCTCCGTTTGGCACCCATTAATTTCTCATTCTCATTTCCATTCTCATTCTCATTCTTCATTTCAACCACATATTCTCCAAATAAAATAATATTACACACAAATCAAAAACTTTTCATCACTTTTTCACCACACATTCTCACATCAATCACTATTCTAAAATTTCTATTCTCCTCAAAATTAGATTCAAACACACAATTTGATAAATTCTTTATTAACTACTAGATACTTTGTTATATCAAAAGTATCGAAACAACGCTTAAGTGGACATTGGCATCTTACAAGAGAGTTATATATTCTATCTTATGAATTATGTTCGAATCATTCACGAGTTAAGCTCCCAATAAACTGCACAAGGGATTGATCTCAAATTAATCTCACTCATTAAAACCTAATAAAATTGATGAGAGTAATGGTAAACACATTAATATTACTGCATAGAGGAATATTATTAGTATTGTATATATTACATAATTTATTTTATGAATCTAAATATTAGTGTCGTCAAGAGAAGGAAGACTCTTTCTAACGGTCTAATCAATCTCCCCCTCTTTTCTCCTCCCCTTCAAGACTCTTTTCTTTTATTGCGGATCAAGGGACGGGACAAGGAGGATGAGGAGAGTTTCTTTTTTAAGTCCTCAAGTTTCAGAGTTGTAGTGACAACAATATTTTACTTTGTTGTATGAATCAAGTTCACCTTCTCGTCGGTGAGTAATGACTAGTTTCTTGATTTTCATTTTAACCTACACTTGACAATCAAGCAAGAATATAATTCTTGTACTAGTTTAACTTGACTCCTTACTATTGATCTTTTTTCATGGGATGAAAATCCACAAAAAATCGATAAGAGATTACAAGGCAGTGTAGGTCTCACAGTGGCCATTACCAAGTTCATACCCTCAGGCTAGCCAACTAACACAAACTATCTACGTGTTAAAACATTTGCTTATGTTAAGCCCAAAACTATGATCTCTCCACAAATATAATATCTAAAATTTAAATTTGAACACTAGACTGCAATAATATTTGATTTATTTTAAATAAAATGTTAACATAATCTAGCTTTGTATTTCGAAAACTTGAAAATTTCATAATTAACTAATTGTAGAAATTTTTCAGTAAATATTTTAAATATTTGGTATGTATTATTTTAATTATTAAATATTTTTTTAAATGATTAAACCCCTGTTTGAGCTTTATTTTTTGCTCAAAATGTATTTTGAAATAATATTTTGTTAGAAAATATGTGGTTAAAAATAGGGAAAAATTTTAAATTTATGTTTAAAATTATTTTATTGGATAATATGTGGTTTAAAATGGTTTTTGAAAAATGATGGCAAAACGTAGGCTAAATATTAAAATAATAATAAAAATAAGTAACTTTTTTTACTCATGACCTTGTCTAGGCTCACTTAAACTGATAAAGTTTGAAGTTTAGCTTCTACGTCTAATCACGTTTTACATTCTTTTATAAAACTAAAAAAAATAAAATAAATTTTAATATTTTGAAGTCGGTTCGGTTCGTTACTTTCACACGAAATCCTTTAACCTATTAAAATGAGAGACTACTAGAAAAAAGTGTCGTAAGTGGCTGTTTCGTCATTTTTATGCCATTTGGCTCAATCGGTCTTGTTACTTGGTTTCTCATCGAGAGGCTCAACTCTCTCCCTATTTCTTTCACTATCACTATAAGCGTTCACTGGCAAACCCCTTGTAAATCTCTTGAACTAGCAAAAATCGTCTAGGGTTTCTTTTGTAGATGTAGATAAATCTAATCATGTATAACAACGGACAGGAGATGTGGAACCACAACAGTAATCCTGCGCCACCGGGCACGAGCGGTAGCGGCGGAGCAGGAGCGGCGCCTATTATGGCTCCGGGGACTAGCGGAGTAGCACCGCCTGGACCACCGCCTTCGATTACTCCTTCGTACACTGTACTTCCGACAGAGGCGCAACTCGACGAGAGGGCAAGGAAATGGATGCAACTTAACTCGAAGCGGTATAGCGATAAGAGGAAGTTTGGGTTTGTGGAGACGCAGAAGGAGGATATGCCTCCTGAGCATGTCCGAAAGATCATTCGGTAAGTTTTCTCGGGTCTTGATGCCGCCTATTAATTATAGATGTGTTAAATTATGATTTTGTAAGTACAGTGAGTTTCCTGTGGTTTCTTAGGGTTCTGATTCTGGATTTATAGCTTCTTGGACAATTTATACTCTGAAGATTAACTTGAATTAAAGATGATAACTTTTGTGAGAAGGTAGAATAGACCCTTCTAAAAGGTGCTAGAAACGCTTTCAAGTGAATTGAACTCTTAAACTGTCCAAAAGGGAATAGGAAATGGTTTGCTTGGTGGGAGCATGTGATGTATAAGAGGATCCGTGGTTAAATGAGTGCTGGGTGGAAGCACCGAGGATCTTTGGTTAAATGCTCCCGATGTTAGTATGAAAAGTTCTCTAACATTATGAAACCTCTTTTCAAACCCAGGATGCTGTCTTAGCGTGCTCATTTACAATGGAACTGTATATAATATTAACATTCATGGTTTGTGTAATGGATTATTGGGATTTTTTGGTACCTAAAGGCTACACCTAGCTAATTCTTGTGGCTTCTACCTTGGTTGTACCTCTTAGAAAACATTATCCTCCTGTTTCAGCACTCATCCTCCAGATATTCTATTAATTTGGTGGACTTTTGTCAAAGTTTCTATTGTAGATGATTGATTTGATGTTTCTACCTTATGTAGCTAGAAGCCGTTTCTTAGGTTATTCGATTCAAATCTTATTTATAGTATCTATTAATTTGTTGAGTGGAGAACCTATTTCTTTAGAATTAACACATTTAGCCTATGTTTGGTTCATGTTTATAAATTGTTTGTAAACACAAAATGTGAATGTTTTGAATTAACATGATTCTCCTTGCCTTAAAAAGAAAAAAGTTTTTGTTGCCGTTTTCTTGAACTTTTTGGCAATTGGATAATGAATTTGGTTATTTGTATTTTGGCAGGGATCATGGTGACATGTCATCAAAGAAATTTCGCCACGATAAGCGTGTCTATCTAGGAGCTCTTAAGTTTGTTCCACATGCTGTTTACAAGCTCCTTGAAAACATGCCCATGCCGTGGGAACAGGTACTTTTGTGTTTGATCATTTCTGTGGTTGTTGAAAATGCTCTTGAATTGTTTTCTGAGTTGGATCGTTTAAGCCACTATTTTACATTTGTATTAACTTCTTATTATGTTTTGTCCGGATAGGTCCGCGAAGTGAAGATTCTCTACCATATTACCGGTGCCATTACATTTGTAAATGAAATACCATGGGTTGTTGAACCCATTTATCTGGCTCAAGTATGCTTCTATTGCTGCACACATCTCCTTTTGCCGTCTATTTGTTGGTCTTAATTGTTGCCCCATTTCTTGCTCAGGACATTAGTTTTCTAAATTGATTACCTGTATGTCAATTTTATTACAGTGGGGTTCTATGTGGATTATGATGAGAAGAGAGAAGAGAGATCGACGACATTTTAAAAGAATGCGCTTTCCTCCTTTTGATGATGAAGAACCTCCACTAGATTATGCTGATAATCTTCTAGATGTGGATCCTTTGGAGCCAATTCAACTGGAGTTGGATGAGGAAGAAGATTCAGCTGTTTACACGTGGTTCTATGACCATAAGCCTCTTGTGAAAACAAAGCTTATCAATGGTCCCAGCTACCGGAAATGGCATCTCTCACTTCCGATTATGGCAACACTTCATCGGCTTGCTGGACAGCTGCTCTCTGATTTGATTGATCGCAATTACTTTTACTTATTTGACATGGAGTCATTTTTTACGGCTAAAGCACTGAACATGTGCATACCTGGTATGTTCAATGCTAAGTCTGTACTTTCGGATGTGATTCATACTTCATTGAAACAAATATGGTTATGTAGATATGAAATTGTGCTTGCGTCTGTGTACCCATGTTGTATATATCTTTATATGTATTGTGGACATGCATGAAAGTTCTTACATAGCTCCTGATTGATTTGCTTATGTATTGGAAATGCTTTTATTATGGTGCATTCGTGCTTTTTTTGTTCTACTTTATGTATTTTCTGAAAACAATTTGTTTTCAGGTGGTCCAAAGTTTGAACCTTTGTATCGTGACATGGAGAAGGGAGATGAGGACTGGAATGAATTTAATGACATTAATAAGCTTATCATCCGTTCACCTCTCAGGACGGAATACAGGATTGCATTCCCTCATCTATATAATAATAGGCCTAGGAAAGTGAAGCTCAGTGTATATCACACTCCAATGGTCATGTATATCAAAACTGAGGATCCTGATCTTCCTGCTTTCTATTATGACCCTCTAATTCACCCCATAACAAGTACCAATAGGGACCAGAGAGAGAAGAAGATTTATGAAGAGGATGATGATGATTTCCAGTTGCCTGAGGGGGTTGAACCATTACTAACAAGCACTCCAATTTACACGGATACTACTGCTGCAGGAATTTCACTTTTGTTTGCCCCACGCCCCTTCAACATGAGATCTGGTCGGATGCGGCGTGCTGAAGATATACCGCTCGTATCAGACTGGTTCAAGGAGCACTGGTACGAAAAGTTCTTCACATTGTTATTTAAATATGCCCAGTTTTCATGAATGTCTAATTTGTCTATTCTTCTCGTGGTTATGTTTTTGCAGTCCTCCTTCATATCCTGTCAAAGTCCGTGTCAGTTACCAGAAATTGCTGAAATGTTTTGTGTTGAATGAGCTGCATCACAGACCACCTAAGGCTCAAAAGAAGAAGCACCTGTTTAGGTCTCTCCAAGCTACAAAGTTTTTTCAGACTACAGAACTTGATTGGGCTGAAGCTGGTCTCCAGGTTTGCAAGCAAGGGTACAATATGCTGAATCTGTTGATCCACAGGAAGAATCTGAACTACCTCCACCTTGATTATAATTTCAACTTGAAGCCTGTGAAGACCCTCACTACCAAGGAACGTAAAAAATCGCGGTTTGGTAATGCTTTCCATCTTTGTCGTGAAATTCTGCGTTTGACAAAGCTAGTAGTTGATGCGAATATACAGTTCCGGCTGGGAAATGTTGACGCATTTCAGTTGGCCGATGGATTGCAATATATCTTCTCACATGTTGGCCAGTTGACGGGTATGTACCGTTACAAATACAGGCTCATGCGGCAGATTCGAATGTGTAAAGACTTGAAGCACTTGATTTATTACCGATTTAATACTGGACCGGTTGGAAAAGGGCCCGGATGTGGTTTCTGGGCACCTATGTGGAGGGTGTGGTTGTTTTTTCTTCGTGGCATAGTACCTCTCCTGGAAAGGTGGTTGGGAAATTTACTCGCCAGACAGTTTGAGGGACGGCATTCTAAAGGAGTGGCCAAAACTGTGACAAAGCAGCGTGTTGAAAGCCACTTCGACTTGGAGCTTCGTGCTGCTGTTATGCATGATGTTCTGGACGCTATGCCAGGTAAACATCGTCCCGACAATGCTTTTTCAGAAAGTGACAACCCCACCCCAACAAAAAACGAAGGAAGAAAGAAACTAAGCTAAATGAACTATACTATAACTTTAATCCTTTTACTAATGATATGAACTTCCTTTTACATATATTTATTCATTTTATTATTGGTTGACTGTGTAGAGGGTATTAAGCAAAATAAGGCAAGAACTATATTGCAGCATCTGAGTGAAGCATGGCGCTGTTGGAAAGCAAATATTCCTTGGAAGGTACATCATCATTCAGATTGTTGATTTTTATTAGTTTCATGTTGCAGTGCTTCCAGATTATCTTCTCTCTTTGTAACTTGATTCTTGGACTCCTCAGGTTCCTGGTTTGCCTGTTCCTATTGAGAACATGATTCTGCGATATGTCAAGTCAAAAGCTGATTGGTGGACAAATGTTGCTCATTATAATCGTGAGCGTATCAGGAGAGGAGCAACAGTGGACAAGACGGTTTGTCGAAAGAATCTTGGACGATTGACCCGCCTTTGGTTGAAGGCTGAGCAGGTGAATACATATTTTAATCTTTAATAGAAAACATCATTGAAATCTGAAGAACTTTTCTGTTTTTTTGGTTCTTTAGTGATTGACAATTTTCTCTTTGGCCACTCTGCTAATTAATTATTCATTACCCCCCTTCACAGGAACGCCAACACAACTACTTAAAAGATGGTCCATATGTCACTCCGGAAGAAGCTGTGGCTATATATACAACCACTGTGCATTGGTTGGAATCAAGAAAATTCTCTCCAATTCCATTTCCTCCTTTGTCTTACAAGCATGACACGAAGCTTCTCATCCTTGCTCTTGAGAGGTTAAAGGAATCTTATAGTGTGGCTGTTAGGTTAAACCAACTACAAAGAGAAGAATTGGGTCTTATTGAGCAGGCTTATGATAATCCGCATGAAGCTTTGTCTCGTATTAAACGTCATTTGCTTACGCAGCGTGCCTTCAAGGAAGTAAGTTGATAAATTTGTCCTTTCTTTTTTCTTAACCAATATTTAGTGTGATAATGGTTTTTGTTGAAATGTGAAATTTTGCAGTTTTAAATACAATTTAATTATTACTTTTATTATTTGTGACATTTAACACTGATAATGGAGCATTTTGCAGGTTGGCATTGAGTTCATGGACTTGTACAGTTATCTAATTCCAGTTTATGAGATTGAACCTCTTGAGAAGATCACCGATGCATATCTTGACCAGTATCTATGGTATGAGGGTGACAAACGCCACCTCTTCCCAAATTGGATTAAGCCTGCAGATTCAGAGCCACCACCACTGTTGGTCTATAAATGGTGTCAGGGCATAAACAATTTACAAGACATTTGGGACACTAGTGAAGGACAGTGTGTTGTGATGCTTCAGACTAAGTTTGAGAAATTTTTTGAAAAGATTGATCTGACCATGCTTAACAGGTGAGTATTTCACTCAAATTGTATAGTCATTGGACAAGAGAGTTAAATATTTATACTGTTGTATAACTTCCTTGTATTGATTTATTCTTATGTTTCTACAGGCTTCTGCGTTTGGTTCTTGACCATAATATTGCTGATTATGTCACTGCGAAGAACAACGTTGTATTGTCATACAAGGACATGAGCCACACGAACTCATATGGGCTCATACGTGGTCTTCAGTTCGCTTCTTTTGTAGTGCAGTACTATGGACTCGTTCTTGATCTTTTACTACTTGGTTTGACTCGAGGCAGTGAAATTGCTGGTCCACCCCAGATGCCAAACGAGTTCATTACTTATCATGATACTAGAGTAGAAACAAGACATCCAATTCGTTTATACTCCAGATACATTGACAAGGTGCATATATTATTCCGTTTTACCCATGAAGAGGCTCGGGACCTTATCCAGCGGTATCTCACTGAGCATCCGGATCCTAACAATGAAAATATGGTTGGTTATAACAACAAAAAATGCTGGCCAAGAGATGCCAGGATGAGACTTATGAAGCATGATGGTAATGCAACACTTTTTTTTATTTTATCAAATACTATTTAAATATGACAATTTCTTCAGTTTGTTTTCTCGACTGGCTGTTAGTCTGATATTTAAAGGAATCCATTTGTTCTTTGTCAAATTTCTGTTTTACAGTCAATCTTGGTAGAAGTGTTTTCTGGGATATGAAGAATCGTCTTCCTAGAAGCATTACAACTCTTGAATGGGAGAACAGCTTTGTATCTGTCTACAGCAAGGACAACCCGAACTTACTTTTCAGCATGTATGTGTAACTTCTTCTTTTTTGCTTTTACTTTTGACTTGATATCTTTATATGCACATATATGTCCAGAGTGTACACATGCATATTTAACGAGTTGGTGGCCTATATGTGTAGGTGTGGATTTGAAGTTCGTATACTGCCCAAGATTAGAATGACTCAGGAGGCTTTCAGCAATACAAGAGATGGTGTTTGGAATCTGCAGAATGAGCAGACAAAAGAACGTACAGCAGTTGCTTTCTTACGGGTAGATGATGAGCATATGAAGGTGTTTGAGAATCGTGTAAGACAGATCCTCATGTCCTCAGGTTCGACTACATTCACGAAGATTGTTAACAAATGGAATACAGCACTTATAGGTAATTATCTAATTTTTTGGCCTCCTAATGCCCATATTTCATGGTGTTGGTTTGACTTCGAGTGTTCTTTTGCTGAAGAGTTCTAATTTGCTTCTGCAGGCCTCATGACATATTTCCGTGAAGCAACTGTTCATACACAAGAACTGTTGGATCTGCTGGTGAAATGTGAAAATAAAATACAGACCCGTATTAAGATTGGATTGAACTCAAAGATGCCTAGCAGGTAATTTATCTTTGTTAAATCTTCTATTCTACCTTTGTTCACAAAACATCCTGAAACTTGCTCTGCTTTCAGGTTCCCTCCTGTTATCTTTTACACCCCGAAGGAAATTGGAGGACTTGGAATGTTGTCAATGGGTCATATTTTGATTCCCCAGAGTGACCTCCGGTATAGCAAACAAACAGACGTTGGCATAACACATTTTAGGAGTGGAATGAGTCACGAAGAGGACCAGTTGATTCCAAATCTGTATCGTTACATACAGGTACAGGATTCCATTTTATGCCTTGCATTATTTTCATATCATTGGTTTTAATTTTATTTTGCTTTTTGACTTTGTGACAGCCATGGGAGAGTGAGTTCATTGATTCACAACGGGTTTGGGCTGAATATGCATTGAAGCGGCAAGAAGCCCAGGCACAAAATAGGCGTTTGACTCTGGAAGATTTGGAAGTAAGTTTCACAGCAGATCCATTTTATCTGTTCCCCCTTGTATCTTTTTTCATTCTGTGGGATTCTTTTTTTCTCGCCCTTTTTTCTGTTTTTATCCAATAACGAGAGGTCGCGCTGAAGTTAAATTAAGGAAAGGACTTTGGACAGTTTGGGCATATTTTGCGGAGACCTATGGGGGCTTCCTCAACTAAGATTTTGACGGATTTTAAAAGATTATATGTTTTTTAAAGCTTGAAATCCATCCAAATCTTTTAAAATTCATCTGTTAATGAAATCTTTATAAATCCACTAGTTATTGATGATACTTAAATTTTAAAGGATTTCATTAAATTTCAATCAGGGACACCTAAATTTTAATGAATTTCATTAAAATCCATTAAAATCTCAATTGAGGACATCTAAATTTAGAGAGATTTTTAAAAACCATCACAATCTAAATTTAGAAAGATTTTTAAAAACCATTCACATGAAGCTTAGACTCTAAATGGTTTTTTTTTTTTAACTATAAAAGATTTGAGGGAGTTTATTTGCTGCAGCTCAATTTTTATTTTGTTATCGTGGTTTTATCCTTTTTTGTCCTCTAGAATTTCCTTTTTCCTCTGTTATTTATCCAATGAGCTTACACTAATTGAGGATAAATAATGGGAATATCGACCTAGATATCCAGAGCATGTCTTGCTTAAACCTAAATAAATTCCCATTCACGGAGCAACACAATCCCAACAATTCAGGCTATATCTGGAAACTATAATAATATTAACATTGCCTGATGTGGTCACAAAATTATTTCATAGTCCAATACTTTCAAGTACATATATCGCTGTGTCTACTTGAAAGGATGGAGTGACAAAAAGGTACTCATATAGATTAGTCGATCCTAATTGCAAAGAAGACTTTGGTTCTTTTCATTATCCTACTTTTAATTTTTTCTTCTGTTTCTATGGGTTGTTGGGGGTGGGGGATTCCTTTTAATACCCCACTGTTTCAGGGGGAGGGTGCTTTTGCAACTTTGTTTGGTCATATTGTATATTCGATATTTTCTAGTCAGTAGCGTCTTTTTGCCGTTACACTCTTTTACATTCTTAACAATGTCTTACTTTGATCAAACAAAGTATGCCCATGTTACATGTTTCTTTTTGATTTTCAGGATTCTTGGGATCGTGGGATACCTCGAATCAATACCTTGTTTCAGAAGGACCGCCACACACTTGCATATGACAAAGGATGGAGAGTACGAACAGATTTTAAGCAGTATCAAGTTCTGAAACAAAATCCATTCTGGTGGACGCACCAGAGGCATGACGGGAAGTTGTGGAACTTGAATAACTATCGAACTGATGTTATTCAAGCACTTGGGGGAGTTGAAGGAATTCTTGAGCATACACTGTTCAAAGGAACATAGTAAGTTTTGCTTGTGCTCTCTCTACTAGAATAACTTTCAATTCTTTTCCGTCACTTTGTGCCAATGTAGTAGAAATTAGTTTATGTATTCCTTTTTCTATTTTAAATGTAATTTTCCTTGCACCGCAATCATGGTCCAACATATTATATCAAGTTCCCATCGTTATGGCTAACATAGATATATTCAGTGTTGTGCATTGCTCTTGTTCTTTGGTAGAGCAAAGAACTTCCATTATATTGGGAACATACATTTGGGCTTCGATTTGCTTTGCCTTTGCAGTTGGATCAGTTGTATTTCATGGTGACAACATTTCTGTTTTTAAGAACTTCCACAAATTGATGAATTTGTTCTCTTGAAAAAAAATGTGGGTTGTTTATGGAGCTTACTTGTTTTCTTTGATGTTTCAGCTTCCCTACTTGGGAAGGTCTTTTCTGGGAGAAGGCTTCAGGTTTCGAGGAGTCTATGAAGTATAAGAAATTGACAAATGCTCAAAGATCTGGGCTCAATCAAATTCCTAATCGAAGATTTACCCTTTGGTGGTCACCAACTATAAATCGAGCAAATGTATATGTTGGTTTCCAGGTGCAGCTGGATCTGACCGGGATATTTATGCATGGAAAGATACCTACCCTAAAGATATCTCTGATTCAGATATTCCGTGCTCACTTGTGGCAGAAGATTCATGAAAGTGTGGTCATGGATCTATGCCAGGTTTTGGATCAAGAGCTGGATGCATTGGAAATTGAAACTGTTCAGAAAGAAACAATCCATCCAAGGAAGAGTTACAAAATGAACAGCTCGTGTGCTGATATTCTTCTGTTTGCTGCCCATAGATGGCCCATGTCAAAGCCCAGTCTTGTGGCCGAGTCAAAGGATGTATTTGACCAAAAGGCAAGCAATAAATACTGGATAGATGTGCAGCTTCGCTGGGGTGATTATGACTCCCATGATATTGAGCGATACACTCGGGCAAAGTTTATGGATTACACAACAGATAACATGTCTATCTATCCATCACCAACTGGTATATTAATATGTAGTTTGTGATATATCTAATTCTGATGCTTGTTTTTATTTGTAATTAACATAGTTTGTTCCGCATGTAGGGGTCATGATCGGACTTGATCTTGCTTATAACCTGCATTCTGCATTCGGAAACTGGTTCCCTGGGTCAAAACCGCTGCTTGCCCAGGCTATGAATAAGATCATGAAGGTACTTCAATATTTTTAAAATTTTGGAGTTTAGGAATGCATAATTAATCATGCAGTGTTATGTTTTTCCTTTGATAAAAGAGAATATCAATTAATATATCAGTCTTTTGCGTGCAGTCGAATCCAGCACTATATGTTCTGAGAGAACGTATAAGGAAAGGGCTACAGTTGTATTCTTCAGAACCTACAGAGCCTTATTTATCATCACAGAACTATGGGGAGATATTCAGCAATCAGATTATCTGGTTTGTTGATGACACTAATGTGTACCGTGTCACAATACACAAGACATTTGAGGGAAATCTCACAACAAAACCCATTAATGGTGCCATTTTTATATTTAACCCTAGGACGGGCCAGCTTTTTCTGAAGGTTTGCTCTGTTGTCACCTGCTGACAATGTATCACCTATTCAGTTTTTGAGATTTGTTCATTAATTATTTGTCTTACAGGTCATTCACACAAGTGTCTGGGCTGGGCAAAAGCGACTCGGCCAGCTGGCGAAGTGGAAAACGGCAGAAGAAGTGGCTGCACTGGTGCGATCATTGCCCGTTGAAGAACAGCCAAAGCAAATCATAGTTACTCGTAAAGGAATGTTGGATCCCCTAGAGGTCCACTTGCTTGATTTTCCAAATATTGTGATCAAGGGAAGTGAACTACAGTTGCCTTTCCAGGCTTGCTTGAAGATTGAGAAATTTGGTGATCTGATACTGAAGGCCACAGAACCACAGATGGTCTTGTTCAATATATATGATGATTGGTTGAAGAGTATCTCGTCCTACACAGCATTCTCTAGACTTATCTTGATCTTGCGTGCTCTTCATGTGAACAATGAGAAGGCTAAGATGTTGCTGAAGCCTGACAAGACAATTGTCACTGAGCCTCATCACATCTGGCCATCTCTATCAGATGAACAGTGGATGAAGGTAGATTGTCAAACGATGTGCATGATTGAAATAGTCTGTTATTTGTTTCTGTTTGAAAGGAAAGATTAGTTTCTGCTTGGCTGCACATGTATTCATTTTTTAGGGCATGTATATATATCTCGTAATTCAATTGCATTTTTTAATTGTTTCTTATCTTTGTAATGTGATGCAGGTTGAGGTTGCCCTTAGAGATCTGATACTTTCTGACTATGCCAAGAAGAACAATGTCAACACATCCGCTCTGACACAGTCAGAAATTCGTGATATAATTCTTGGGGCTGAGATTACTCCGCCTTCGCAGCAGCGACAACAAATAGCCGAGATTGAGAAACAGGTATTTTTTCATCACCCATCTAATCTGCAAGTTCTATTTTGTCTTTGTGATGCATCATCCCTTTGATTTTACGGACATCTTAATATTCTCTTAGGCAAAGGAGGCTAGTCAGCTTACAGCAGTCACTACAAGGACCACAAATGTGCATGGTGATGAGTTGATTGTTACTACCACAAGTCCATATGAGCAAGCAGCATATGGGTCTAAAACTGATTGGCGCGTTAGAGCGATATCTGCCACAAATCTTCATCTTCGGGTGAATCATATATATGTGACCTCAGAAGACATTAAGGTACTGTTAGTATTTACCTATAGTTGGTTTGATGATTAATTATTCCTTGAATTCTTGTAATTATTAATTTATTATATGGAAAGCCCTACCAAAATGGTTTTCTTAAAATTTTTCTGGTCTAATTTGTGCAGGAAACAGGATATACATACATCATGCCTAAAAATATTTTGAAGAAGTTCATATGCATTGCTGATTTGCGCACTCAAATTGCCGGATACATTTATGGCATAAGCCCTCCAGACAATCCTCAAGTGAAGGAGATTCGCTGTATTGCCATGCCACCACAGTGGGGAACTCATCAACAAGTTCATCTTCCATCAGCTCTACCTGAACACGACTTTTTGAATGACTTGGAGCCTTTAGGATGGATGCATACACAGCCAAACGAACTTCCCCAGCTGTCTCCGCAGGTTTATATTTTCCTCATCTTATTCATTCCCTTCCTGAACTTCGCCTGCAATACTTTGTTACTTTTACTTTTTGATGATATTTTCGCTGAACAAACTTGTAAAAAAAATGCCAAATGTAGGATCTAGCCGCTCATGCTCAGGTCTTGGCAAACAACAAACAATGGGATGGAGAGAAATGTATTGTTTTGACCTGCAGTTTTACCCCGGGTTCATGCTCTTTAACTGCATATAAGCTGACCCCATCAGGATATGAATGGGGGAAAAACAACACAGATGCTGGAAGCAATCCCCATGGTTACCTGCCAACCTACTACGAGAAAGTTCAGATGCTTTTGAGTGACCGTTTCCTTGGTTTCTACATGGTAAAGTTTAATGTTTCAATGTTATGCACGTCTCTGTTTTCTTCCTCTCAAAGTGATGTTTTGGTTTTATCCATGACATCTTTTCTAGTGCGTCCAATTAATTACATCTAATATGACTTACAGATACCTGATAATGGTCCCTGGAACTTCAATTTCATGGGAGTTAAACACACTGCCGGCATGAAGTATGGAGTGAAACTTGGGGCGCCTCGGGAATACTATCATGAAGACCATAGGCCAACACATTTCCTAGAGTTCAGCAATTTGGAGGAAGCTGAAACTGCTGAAGGGGACCGAGAAGATACCTTTACTTGAAATTTGGCACGAGGTGTTGCCTTATCTTAAAGCAAGTTTTCTTGTTAATGTAATATTGAGGGAGTGCTAGCACCCTTGGGATTGACCTAATTTAGGGCCACTCTTCCACCGTACTCATCAATATATTCTGTCTTCCTTGTAACAATTTTTAGATGTTTTAAGGGAAAAGAAGTGTATAATAATTTTGCAGTACTCCATTTAGAGCCGGGAAATATATATCTTCCATTTCAGTATACCTCAAATAAACGAACTGAGTTTTTTCTGATATTACGAGTGTCCCGCTCCAAGAGCGAGGTGCAAACTGTTTATAGAGTTAACAATTAATTTAACAACATATTTAATGGAATTCATAACTGTTTTAATTTTTATCAAAATTTACTAAAAAATCTACTTTTTGTCTCTATTAAACATGAGTAAAATCACAATAAATTTGAATATTTTTTCTTGTTCTCGTTCTTTTCCTCACTCCTTTTAACAAAGTCTTGGTTCTTCTAATTTTTTAAAATTTGTATTATCAATTTCGATTAGAACATGATTCATAATTGATTAGTCTAGATGTACCTGTCACACAATCACATCTTAATCTAAGAAATTAATTGTGAGAGCCTAGGCATCTGAGTGAAAATTTTATGTTTCTCTATTAATATAAAAGAGCCAATCCATAGATCATTGTTCATTTGTGAAACATTTTGCCTCCCCATTTTATTCCACACGAATTACCATTTTCTCCACTTTATCCACCTCGCAGATTACTGTTCATCCGTGAAACAATTTTCATCCACAGTGTATAAAATAAAAGGGCACTATGGAGAGAGAGAAAAAAAAAAAGACAACCGACTGTTCATTATTGTCACACGCCATTTCACATTGAAACTGGTTTGGTACTGTAGCTAATATGGATTTCCACTGTTCATAAATATCTCATTCTCACGCCAGAATTGTTGACTAAATTCTTCAAGCTTCAGCAGTGAAATTTGTCGCCTTAATTAATTAAAAATATATATATATGCAACCGACTTACTCATATATATAACATGCAAATGCACTAAATGCAATTGCAATCACACACTGTGAAGTGGCAAAACAATTTCTTGAAGGTAGATTTGTATTCATTGTTGTTATATTTTTGCTTTTTCATTTTTTTTTTTTTTTTGCATCATGATTTAAGTTTTTTCGTTTTTGTTTAGTTTTGTATTTTCGTTGTTCTCTATCTTCCGAGAAGATTTGCTCGATGTTTTGGTCGAGATAGTTGAAATCTTTTTATTTTTTGCTACCTACTTTCGGTTTTGTCATTTTTGTTTAGTATTATTTGTCGTCCTTCTCACAAGTTTCTTTCTTCTCCAGTACAACTTCTCTTTCGTATTAGATATTAAAACTTCAGTTTATAACAGCGCTGCATGGCATTTACTACTATAACTTCGAGTAAAGTTAAAGAAAACTTACAGCTTTAGCCTGTCAGGTAAATGAGTTTCTTCTTCCACTTGAATTTGTTGACTCCTAGATGTTGGTATTAAGTAGGTCCATGAATGT